ATCTCGCTGAGCCCTGTAGGATAGTTTAGCACTTGTTAAACATTTCAAATTTTAATTTTCAATTACCTAACTTTCAGTTACCGCTTAAGTCGAGTTGACGCATTGTAAATTTTAGAGTTAGTAAAGGGTTCGAACCCTTCTTCTGTGCAGTTCCCTGCTACATCTGTATCCAGATAGAAGTTAACCCACCTGGACTCTACAATATATTTAATTTTGTAGCAAAGCCTTTCTAGTATTCAAAGGTTTAAGCACTGTTTGGTCCTTTCCTTGTAGTCCTTAGTTCATTGAAATGTGTAGTTGTATCAGTCAGAAACATTAGCTTGCAAAACAATACTTCATCGTTCAGTTCGGGCAAATGTTGTTCCTCCTCATTAAGAAAAACTTTAATGTGCTCCAAGCATGTCACAAACTTATTCAAGAGATTACCTCGACTAAACCAACGGACATGGCTCTAGAAAGGGAGATCCACATATTCACTTTCCATTTCTTCTAAAACAGATTTAAATTGCCTATGTACTAATGAATAACGAGACTGTATTGAAATTAACTATTTTAACAACAGTGTTCATTACAGAAATCAAGCACGCTGACGAAATTTTAACAACTAGACTTTCCTGATGTATTATGCAATGTTCAATACTTTAAGTCCAATATGATTTGAAAGAAGTTTGAGAAATCCTCTTTCCTCACCGACCATTGCAGGAGCCCCATCAGTAGTTACATTAAATATTTTTTTTAAAATTAATATTTGTACTTTCAAAATAATTATAAAGGAAATAATTATAAAAGAAAATCCCCTCCCTTAGTTGTTCCAGACAGAGGAATCAAAAGTTGCATAATTCTTCATAAACTCGATCTTTATCATAATATTGTGCAATTACTGCAAGGCGCGCACCGTCATTCACATGGTACTTTCATCCAGAGCAACGCTAGATGCAACAGTTTCTTATAGTCCATAATTATTAGAATCCATAATGTTTTGTTGTTATATTTTCTGCCATTTGAATTATTTGTATTTCAGTAGTTCGCGAAGAAGCCGGTATTTCTTAAATTCGAGATAATATTGTTAGTAGATTTGGTAAACCGCTGAACAATATTTCAACACTTTTTTAAAATGGGCCCTATTTGCCACCTGTGGAAGATTTGTTTAAGGCAGCTATACAAGGAGCAATTACGAAACTACATTCGGTTGGTTTAGGTTTGGTTCCAATTGTTTGACAAAAAAAATTTAACTTGTTTCTGATATTCAGTAACAGCTCTTTTTATAAATTCATGTTTCTCATCGGGATTCTGAAATGTGGACTGATGTTTAGTTTGAAAATGTCTTCGTACACTTGACGTGCGGCACAACATACACACAGCACGATCCTTTTGTTACGAATCCGTATTAATTTGTCCAAGTGTCTTGAAAACCGCTAACATCAGTTTTTTTTAGCGGTCCTTAGTTCAATATGTATATATGAATATGTAGATTAGCATATTCAATATGTAGGTATTAATTATCACAATAATTTTACAAATAAAATACAAGTTTTCACAATACAACTAAGAACGTGTCGTAAAGTTAAAAGTAATCTATAGCGCAAGACGTGCATTAAACTAAATTCTACTTTCGACTGAAATCATACTCGATACTCGCGTATCGGCGCAATGAACCGATCGAAAGGATCTCTCCATTCGTGATGTCTGAGCATAAGGGAAGGCGTGAAGTGGGACTTTGCAGAGAGGAGAGACAGGGCGATAGAGTGCCACTGAGAATTGTACCGCCTTTGCCATAGGTTGCCGAGGTCTAGTCTAGACGTAAATGCATGGGTCTAAACCAGGTGTTATTTGTTTGACCAAGTTTTCAAATTTTGTACCATATGAATATGAAACAAAACTATATGTACCACCATAAAAGCATTTCGCCATTAAAAATCGATGCATCCTAAATGGAATGTATATAATCATAGAATAAAAACCTTTAAAATTATATTATTTAATTATATTCGCAAATAAAATTTTTACATTACAATAAAATATAAATAAGTATACTACGAATATATATATATAACAGTTGTAGTAAATAGTGAGTAATAAATACATACAGTGGCTCAAACAATTGAGAATACACCTTACTTGATAAATCTAACTTTAAATATAAATAACACATTACCAAGAAGAGCAATGACGTTTTTATTTTTACACGTAACAAATGGTTTAATTTTAAAATAAAGAACAATTAACCAAAAAATTCTAAAATTTAAAAAAAAAAAATCGGAATCATTTTAAATAAACACATGCAGATTTTTGACTAAAAAAATTAAGAATACACCAATGCAATTTTTGTGATATCTCAAAAGAAAGTGTCAGTATTTTATTGCATGTCCTCTGACTTTTATGATCTCTTCCAAACGTTGTGGTATCAATTCGACCATCTTTTTGCTTGTATCTAAAGATATGTTATCCCATTTTTCTTGCAACATTGTTTTAAATGTGCTTTGGCTTTAATTCTGTGTGTTAGGACCACTCTTTCGAGTGTGGCCCATAGATTTTCTATGACACTGATGTCTGGAAACTGTGATATTGTGTATAACTGCTGTTTATAGTGAAAAATACGGACCATTTCGATGCTATGAACCCGTCCTGTGTTTGAGATCATTATTATGCTGAAATATGAAATTTCCATCGAAACCTAACATTTTAGCACTTTTTTTAGATTAATATGAAGTACATCCAAGTAAACCATATGATTTATAATGTCATCTATAAAAATAAATTCTCTACTCCAGCAGAAGCCATAACGGGGCCACCACCATGTTTAACTATAGGATGTACATTTTTGGATCCAAAACGGTGTTGGCCTTTCTGCATACGGTGCGACGGCTGTCACTGGAGAAAATGTTGAATTTACTTTCATCAGTGAATATAATTTCTTCCAAAAGTTATTCTTCTTCAGTTGATAAGTTTTTGCAAACTCCAGACCTTTTTCTGATTTTGCAAGCTAATGAATTGCCTCTTTCTAGGAATTATACTTTTATATCCAGCTTGTCTAATTATATTTCGTACAGTTTTAACGCTTACTCTTCTGCCAATGATTTGAGAAGTTTTCTGCAGCAAGTTTGACTCCACTTACTTTAGGATCAATGTTGATATCTTTTAAAATTTTCCTTTTGGTGACAACACTAAGAATACCTTTCCTTCCTCTACCATATTTATTTTCAATCAATCCATCACTTTCATCATCATCAAAATCACCATCACCATTTTCAATCATCATCACCATTTTCAATCATCATCAAAATTTTATAATGATTTTCTGTACACATGTGACTTTTTACAACAATTTTAGCTATTTCACTGCCAGATTTTCCTTTTTTATATAATCTTAGTGCGAATTTCCCTACGTCAATATAGTTTCTCTTCGAGGAGACATTTTCTATTTAAAAGTGTGGCTTAAAATTCATATAACAAACTAAATCACAAAAGTGAAGAGGTTTAAGATAAGCTTACGCAACATTACGTCAAAATAGAAGCCACATAGAAAAAGTGGCATTCTCGACTTTTTGGGGCATAATTCTGCATATGTTTATTAAAAATGCTTCTGAAATTTTTCATTCTAGGATTTGTTTGTTGGTTGTTATTTATTTTTACTTTAAATCAATTGTTATGTGTAAAAATAATACAGTTTGAGAACCGGTGGTCTAGACATTAATGCAACACAGACTTCTCTTATGTAGTAACTGTTCCTACCAACAACAGCGCAATGATTCATATCAAGTTGATTCTGAGAAAATTCAGTGGAAGTTAATTCTACACACCATACATAAATGATGCGAATTACCCTTAAAAATTGATTCTCCATCCTTCAAACAAATTCAGAGAACGTAATCCTTATTTTTCCCTCGGCTCGTCATATTCTTCAGATTTCTATTTCAGCATTTTCTTCGAATTGATGTAGAGCTCCATTTTATGGTTTTCAGTACACGTTTTTTCAGAAGAAATAATTCTTCTTTCCTAAAGAAATTGTATGAAAGATATTTCATAACTAGGAATGTCCCACATTTTCGTATCTATAGCAAATACAATAATAATAAAAACAAAAGTGATTGTGACATCTTTAGAATTTGTTATTTTGAGACTTTTGAAAAGCATTCTTTTACTTTTTAAAAGAAAGTAAATATTGTAACAATTTTGAAAATAAATATCGACGACTTCAAATGAAGTAATCTTTCAGCGAGTTTAGCAAAACATTTGATGACCAACTGCAGTCCCGATAACAGAACAGTACCAAAATAATCAAACAAACATATCGAATATTATTCAACGCTGTTAACACACAAAAATGCCTAAACTGGTTAAATGGACTGCCATACGAAACAAAATATCGCCCAAATCGCTTATCATACCAGAAGAAAATTCGCCAAATTTGGTGGAATTCGCATCTGGCACATATGTTACCGAGAAGTACTGTCCTAGATATGAATGTAAAATAAATGCAAGTAAATAACTCAGAAATGATTATGTGAGACGCAATAAAATTTTAAAAAAATCATACTAAAAATGGAAAGTTTTTTTTACAATCCTTATAATTTTTTGGTATTGCTGTTTTAATTCAAAACTAAAGAAACCAGAAAAATTGACAGGAATATTTGTTTGGGATAAATCTGGTTTCCATCAAGTAGAAACCCTTTTTTTATGAGCAACGCCATTAGGTTTATTTAAATAACGTTTTCTTAGAAAAGACTATCTTGAAAATTAAAATTACCGAGTACCTAAACCAGATGTGGAGCAGCATAAGTTGCACTTGATAGAGCAGTTTCTGTAAGTTAGGTTAAAAATCAAAACTTAGTCAATTAAAATGTCCTGAATTAAATAACTGAAGTTACAAACGATAGAAAAACAAACAAATATTAGCTTCAATAAAAAACTTAACAAATATTTAATGTACCCGGCATATTTCTGGAAAAGAAGCAGCTCTAATTTAAAAGTCCTTCACTTTCTTTTCTCTTTACTTCTAGGGAAGTGCTCAAGATCTTAAAGGAGGTAAATCCTAACCGAAAATGTTTTCGCTTATCATCAGGTATTTTGTTGGAGAGAAGTGTTCATGAAACGTACCCCTCTCTTCTTCTACAAAGAGAAATGGTATGTTTTTCATGTATTTCATTAAGACTTACGTTATTTATAAAGAAGCAGTATTTAATTTACAACTTCTTCTCACATTGAACCTTGCAATTTCCGGATTCCATATTAGAAACTGTTATTAAATTAATTCTTTTTAAATTAAATTTGAAAACGATGCTCAGTTCTGGCAACCTGTTATTAAAATTGGAAATCAGTTTATTCGGCAAAATTATTGGTCTTGTTATCAATATACTTACTAAGTTATACCGAGACTCCAAATGAACAGAATTTTCACATTTTTTGGCGATTATCTTTAGCAGTGAAGAACATTGAAATTTGGTATAAGCATAGAATGTTATAATACAAAAAAACTATCGTATACAACAATTATGACGTACATATATATATATACACGGAATTTGTGTAAGATTCATCGACGTACGAAGGTCTAAACAGGAGTTGAAATACCGAACAGAAAAGGAAGCCAACAGAGACTATGTTTCTCTTTATAACAGTTATGCATCTCCTACAACGGGACTTCATACTGGAAATGAGGCAGTTTATGAGTCCTTCTTATAATCGATCCTATTCCTCCGGCAACGCGGTTTTCATGTTAGTTTTAACCTTAATTAATTAGTTTTAACCGCAAATTAGAATCCAATTTTAATTTTGTTCTGCATTTAATTTTTAAATATAACGTGGAAGAAAATCCCTGTTCACACAAATAGGTTGTGTAAAAAGACAATAAAAATGTAATAGCTTTATTTGAAATTCAAAATTTATTTTGAAAGTTATTTTACTGTTCAGCTGAAAGTTAACAAGTGTATTATTTTTTATATCTTCAGTTAGAGTTCGATCACAAGAAATTTCTATCAGATTTTCTTTTTCTTCACGAGATTTTTGAATTTAATAATTAAAAATACTTTTCTTTCCTTACCTCCTGTTTTTCTCTTTACTTTTATTCAAGTTTTAGTATTTATTAACAGTTTCTGTACTTCTCCTTATTTAATTTATGAAACGTATTAAAAATAATCTAAATTTATGGAAATATATATGCATTTTTCGAGTTTTGGAAAGAAAAGGGGGAATGATAATCTAACAATGGTGAAAAGGGTGCATGGGGGCAAAAAAGGTTGAGAACTACTGCTTTAGAGTTTCAGTAGCCAGTAGCTGGCCAACTGCCTGACGAAGCTGATTCTCGTGCTGTATGGAGATTTATTATGCCGTTTTTGAACATTAGAACTGTGGATCTCCGTAGTCATTTTATTCGTTGTTCTTATATTACATGATTCCATAGTTGTGATAGTTATTTGGATTCTTTTTCTAATGGAATTTACTTCCATAGACATACAAAATCCGAAATTTGTGCATGACAGGATCAAAATATTAAAAGCTTCCGTCTACTCCGTCTACTTGTGGTTTCAAATCATAGTATTGTTTCTGTCATAAAATCATTTTTATGTAGAATTTTTTGTGTTCTGTGCCATTTTAACATAATGAAATTTATTCTTTTTCGCATGTCTTTTTATAAAGTTCTAGAATGCTCGTGAAATAATGGTGCATATCCAAAGAATTGTAACTCAATCCAAGGCGTTTTTCCTAAGGTATTACAAAATTCAATTCAGCGAATCCACGATGGCTACTAAATTCGTAAAATTCTCAAGAGGTTATGAGACAATGAGATACGGTTCCATAAAAAAGTATTTTGGTTTGAAATGTAGAAAGCTTTAAAAGATAAGGGTTCAATATTATAGCGAATTAAAATGGTCTCCAATTAAAAAAAAATTATCTGAAACGCTTCCTTATACCGCGGCACCGTTATGAAGATTTCGATCTTTCTGAACAGTAGTCGATTTTTTGTGCGACGCGGTAATGTGGCACACCGTTATGAAGACGTCTTCCAAATCCCAGGAGGATAGGTCCAGTGACATCAAATGGGACCACCGGGTCCAATCGTTCAAATGTCGCATTTAAGTACTCCCGTACATCATGGCTGAAATGGGTTGGGCCCCATCATGCTGGAATCACATATGATGGCGAAGGGACTGTTGGATCTATTGGTCATTCAGTAGACTGGGCAAAATTTCCTCAAAAAAAAAAAAAATGTCTCAGAACATTGCCTGTCCAAACATGTGGGCTATTAAATGGTCTTCCGCAACGCAAGCGTAACAATGACAGCCACCTAATGCTGTACTGTACATATGTTTGTGTAAAATGCATGCTGGTTCTCCACAACACATTCAGGTGAATTACGTGCAATGCAGCAATTTTCCTTTGTGATGTATGCCTATATAAATAAGAATGAATTCGGAAAAAAGGGGTCCGTTGAACTCTTTTGTAAATATTATTGAGCTAAAGCAACCTTCATCAAGGTGCAGTAATATCAAATGCAATTGGTTCAAATTGAGAATTCTCTGGACGGTGGTTTGGGAAAGATCGAAATGAGTAGCGATTGCTTGTAAGCCTGTGGGATGTCTTACGCATTAATAAGCACCATCTCTTCGGCTCTTCATTTGTGAAACCTTACATCCTCTGTGAGCAGTTGTCGCATGAAGGATGTTTTTTCGGTTCCCGAGCAACTTCCTCTGTCACGTTAAGGACCGCCTTTTTGACCTGACACAACTATCTCATTCCGACTCATTTCTGAATAACTTATGCCTCGCAGAGGTTTATACATGGGATACAAATTACCCTGTATATGATATCGTACAAAGTACACACTAATAAAAAATTGCATTACAAACAGCGTTGAGGTACTTTTTATTAGTATACTAAAACACAGAGAAAAATTTGCAGTTTAATGTAGTTTTGCGACTACCATAGAGTGTGTAACGCTTTAAAGATGCTTGGACTTTGGTATAAGTCCAAGAATCTGGATCAAGCTGGACGTATAACAAACTAAATTTTCCAGTGAGAAATAAAGCAAAAATAACTAATCTGTTCTTAGGCAAAAATCCTATCGTTATTATTATAACACTATTTAATGTAAAAATACTAATGGGTAAAATATCTACTGCACATAAACAAAAGTTTATCAGATTTTATTTTTCTCTTTTCTGTTAGGCTTTGATTGAACTTGGTTGAGGATCACCAAGTTTAGATTAGCCAATTTCATAGCGTCTTTGTTTATCACAGTCGTAGATACAGCCATTCTCGGCAATACAGCACAGTTTCAACGTACACTGCTGGTAATATACAACATTGGCAAAGCATAACTTAAAACTTAATTCACTCTAATAAATCACAAAAAGCAAATCTCTAGCGGTAGCTGAAACATCAGAAGTTCAGGATGAAGAAATAACTAGTCTAAGCTGCTAAACACTCTGTGATAAATGCTGCAATTACCTCCTAATTTACACTTTAATCTAATTTTCATTCTGATGGAAACTAACGAAAGCAGACGTAAAGACAATAAATGTAAATTAAAAAATCAGAAAAGGTTCAGATTTTAACGATCTTCTAAAAGGGTTCTTTTTAAATTTAATACGGTTTGTCAGTGTAAATTATCAGTAGACATGACCCAAGTGGAACAGCGAAACATTTATTTTACATGAAACTAGATGAATACGCAATTAGAGCATGGGGATGCAATACATATGTTTTGACCATTTAAAAAGTAAAAAAAAAATGTACACTGCGAAAAAACAAAAGGAGGGAGGAAACACTTTAATGTCTCCCGTTCTACTGGGCCGATTGACGAAATTCAACTTGCGATTTTCATGTCTCGAAAGCGTGACTTAGGATATGTATTAGATTTATATATAGCATTGTTCTAATATAGGTATTTTGACAGAAAATCGGACTTTTTATAAAATAACCTGCCAATATTTTTCCATATTTCAATTCTACGACTCAAATTACGCCAAATTTTAAAGTTTTGTAAACATCGCACGAGTAGTTTTTACAAAATTAGCTCCTTAATGTTAATTGAGTTTGGTATATATTTATTAATCTCTCTTTTTTTATTAAACTTATTTGATTTTTCCTTTCACTTTTCGAAATTCAGGTTCATTCCGAATAAAATTGCCCCATTTTTTTATGATTTATTTAAAAACAATTTTATAAATTTTTCAAAAAACATTTTGAATTATAATCTATAAAATATTTACCATCATCTTAAAGTAAACGCATTTCTAAGCATACCTGCAAAAAGTTAGAGTTTTTTATTCAAAATTTCCGAAGATATACATGAATTTATATGTTGGCTCGTTTTGAAATTTGGCATATTTGTTGAAAGCGATAAAACATCAAATGTGGTTTACACACTTTGCTAAAATTGTTTGAAAGTAGGAATGAGGGGCTTTTTTCTCGCCCATGCACAATGTAAAAAGGTTAGAACCAGGTGCCTTTTTTTCAACTTCGGCATAATGGAAGGAAAATGAAAATTAGTTGCCATATATTAAGAAGTTCGCCAAGTGAATTATTCTTGGCGCAAACTGAAAAAATTGCGCCAAGATAAATTTTTGAATTTCTCTTTAAATCTCGCACCAAATTTTACAAAATTTAATACCTACGCATAATTTGAGTCGTAGAATCGAAATACAGAAAAAACATTGGTATATTATTTCAGAAAAAAGTCCGATTTTGTGTCAAAGTCTAGATTAGAACAATGCTATATACAATTCTAATATATCTTAAGTCGCGCTTTCGAGACATGAAAAACGCAATTTGAATTTTGTCAATCGGCCCAGTAGAAAGTGTGATATAGAACTGTCTCCCCGTTTTTTTACGCAATGTACGTGATGTAATTCTATAAAACAGTTAATGTTTTTTTTTTTTCTCTAAAAACAGTTAATTTAAATATTTTTAATGTTAATAATTAGCTATATCATAAAATGAATTTTAAATAAAGTCAATCAAATTAAAAGTTTGTAAGGTATATTTTAATTTTATAACAGTTATTTTATGACACTTTCATATTTCTTCTGGGTTCAGCTTATAATTCCTTATCAGAATGAGTGTTTAGAAGTGTTAAATGCAAATGAGAAGCAGAAAGTATTTAAGTTCCACTGGCTTCAGAAGAGAGAGTTTGGATTCCTGAATAGTGTGCGTTTGCCTTTTGGTTAAGTCTCTTTAATTGTTACTACGCTCGGCCATATTACGTGCCTTTTGATAGCTTCGCTGGCTATGCGGTCCTGGGCCCAGGACCAACTAATTACGTGCCAACTAGTTTAGAATTAGGTTAGCTTTGGCTAAATCTCTTTAGTTAGTCATTACTTAGTTCTTCTTTCTCACTTTTTGTGTTTAAGCCCAAATGGAGCTGTCCTGAGATTTTGTACGTCCTGAGAAAGGGACCAACTGTGAAATCTTTATTTTGAGCAAATAAAGGGTAATTAACCCTTCTTGAGTTTACGTTTCTGTTCTTGGACTTAAGCGGTTATTCGCTGAGTAGTACATTAGGTTCCTTGACATTACATTTAGCAAGCTAGGAGTGAGGAATACTACAAGTTAAGTAATATTTTTAAGACTTGCATCAATTGTTTTTAAGTACTTTAGTTTGCTAATTAATATCAGACAGATTAAATATGAAAGAATAAGATCTTACGTTTTATTGAACTGCAATAGGCTCGAATAAAAAGTGAAATATCTTATTAAAATGGAACAACGCAAAGTCACACAAGCCTAATAGCCTTTTTCGGCTCATAAACCAAAACAATAGGATCACCGCTTACTTAAAATAAAACTTACAAAAAGTAATTAAAGACTTATAAGATATTTCTCCCCGCCTTCTTAGCATGCCTTCGTTATGTAGGGGTCGGCACGCTCGACGCATACTCGAGAGGCCCGTGGTTCGAGTCCCGGCGAAGGTGTCGCTCATTTTTCGTCTCTCCTGCTTCGAAATTACGTAATGTCTCTACAGTAGCCCCCGAGCTAAAAGGGTGGTCGATGATGATGCTCTATCCCCAGGATTTGGCGATTGGGTCCCCTAATCCCCAGTAGCCCTTTAAAAGTAGGAATATATAAGGTGTTTTTCTCGCCTTCTTAGCATGCCTTCGTAGTGTAGTGGTCAGCTCGTTTGGCGTGTATTCGAGAGGCCCGTGGTTCGAGTCCCGGCGAAGGCGTTGCTCATTTTTCATCTCTTCTGCTTCGAAATTACTTAATGTCTCTGCAGAGTAAGTGCATTTGTCTCTAAGAATGTAAAATGGTTCTCCTTAGATATAAAATGAGATGAACAGTGGTTTAAATTAGGAATAAAATTATATTAATTTATCCACTTCTTAATGGTCTTTTTATTCTTCATGCAGCTTGAGGAGCAAATTGAGGATCTGACAGCGAGAATCGTGGAATCCACAAAAGTAATTCAAGATTTTCAACTGAAATACAGCGTGCGAATAAAACCTGAAGACGATTTCATAGATTTCAGAACTTCCAAATTATTCGAAGAAGAAATTTATAAAAATGGTTAAAATATCTTCTGATTTCTTTTGATTCTACACTTTTAGATTTCCAAAACTGTCTTATGCCTCCTTTTATGAGTATTTTTTCCCTTTTATTATTCTGTGTATGTTTTGTTATAGTATTGTTTTTTAAATTTCATATGTACGGAATAAAATAATTTTTGATGGTGATATAAATGTTAATGATGAAAACCAATTCATGAAGTGTATGCAATTGTGTGAGGTTCAATATTTCTCTTATAATAGACAAATATTTTTTGGTGTGCAGTGACAGAAAACTTGGCCCAATCTGAGAGCTTGATTTTGAATAATTACTTTGCAAATTCTCACATTTTTGCAATGTGTTTGAAAAGCAACAATGGATAGCAAGGCAGCAGTGACAAAGAAGCAGAGAAGAAAATGCAAATTGTTCGATATGAAGGCCTGGTTAAGTACGATTTAATTTTCGTTCAACTTCAGTCCTCTTGGCTGATTTCGTTCGCTAATTTTAATATTATTATCGTTTGAAGCGTTACGTAAGTACGTGTGTCACCAGCGTTGCAGAAAACTTACCGATTCTGAAATGACACAGTTTCGAGACTTTTTAAAACAGAAATTCAGAAAATTATTTTCAAATTAAGAAACAGAGTTATGGTGTTATTGAAAATTAACGTTAGCATTTTATCCTACCTAGTTTTGTATTTTACATGTATAGACATTAAATATTACAAAGTATTTAAAAAATACTAAAATCCAGGCGCTCGCCAATTTAGCGAGATAACCATTTACCTCTGAGTTACATTGACTTGCCTGCGTTAAATAATCTTATACTCAGTAATCTTATTTTTCCGGCAGAGCTTTGTCTCTTCAAAATTCTCATGTTACATTATACAAAAGCTACTAAAGTTTTACGTGTAATTTCATTAAAATTACTTACATATATACAAAACTCGTTACATTTACTTTTATATAATTGAATCAGTGTTCATTTGTATGCGCTGACACTTATAGTAAGCACTGTAAATAAAAACAACCTAAATTGCCAGAGCTTGAATTTTTTTCTTTAAGATATTGAATAAATATAACTTTAATAGATTTATGTCTTTATGCTATTGAAATAACGAATATCACGCGCAGGAGTTTTTGATAATTTTAATCGGAAAATCGAGGTGCGCGGCTTACGCGAAACAAAGCAATACAGACCAGGTAAGCGCAAGTTAGCCCGCATAAATTATTTCTTTTTAAAGCTATGGTACCCCGAAACAATATGACATTGTATGATGGTACTGTACCCTCTCAAATAATAAATCCTGGCCAGGGATTTGTAGAAGATATACCACCACTAGCAGCCACTAGAAGTATACATTAATCGCCCATTTAAAGCAGCACCACTGAAAAGAATGTAAACGGAATGGATGGCAGCTGGAAATTACGCACTGACACCGACTGGTCGCATCAAGAAGCCCGAAATAACTCGAAACTGTGGATGGATCAAAGCCGCCTGGAATGGAATTTCACAAGAACGTGTTGTTATGAGCTTCAAAAACTGCTGAATATCAAATAGCATGGACGGAAGTGAGGATTGTGCAGTGTGGGATGATGAGGAAGTAGATAATACCTGCAATTCGAAAAGCATCAGTGATGACAGCAGCGCAGAAGTCGAAGAAGATAGACAATCTACATTGTGTTCCTAGGCTGAAAAAGTGGGAAGAAGTGCCGTGGTGTGGTAAGTTATCTGCCTCTGTTAGATTACCGGTAGATTTTAAAGGATCACTCGGGACTTTTAAATCCACATTTAGTGCAGTGATTGTTGCCGACTGAAGCTATTGTTTAACGAATTAAATTTTATACAGTCAAAAGTCGTTAATCCGGACTCGTCGGGACTTCGGCGATTCCAGATTATCGATTTTTCCGGATTATAGATCATCAGTTTAAATCTCGTAAGATGGCACGCAGAAATTCTAAAATTAAAAATATGAAACCGTAATTTATGAAAGAAACAATAATTATGATCTAGGGTATCAAAATTTACAAAAAAAAAAAAAAAAAAAAAAAAAAAAAAAGCTTAATATTTATTTGTTTACTTTATTAAACATTTCTTTCAATGTAAGTTGTTTAAGTTGCTTCATTTTATGTGATAATACTTTCTCTTTAATTCTATAAACAGACATAATTTCTTCTTCAGTTACAAAGTCCCGCTGTTCAAGTCCCGTTAATTGCTGTGCCGAGAATACCGACTAACTTGTCAATCGAAATTTTTTCGTTTTCACTAACCTCTCCGTCACATTCTTCATGTCTTTATCCATTTTTTGCAGCAATTCCACTTTTTGTTTGTTGGACATCGAAACATACTTTCGTTTTGTAGATCCTTTGGAAGTTCCAGCATCGGAAATTCTATTTGACATAATCGAAAGTTCAAGTTTACTTTTATAAAATTGTCTTACAGTCTGCAAAAAATAATAAGCGGGATACAATTCGAAGATTAAGGAACAACGCAATCATTAACATTAACTGAAATAGATAATTAGATAATTTTAGCTTACACCGTCCGTTATACATTAAACGCGCAGGCGAAAACGTATTCTGCACTTGCGCACACGCATATGCGCAGTAGTCAAGGTCTTACGCGCACGCGAAAAACGCCTGTGCGCATGTGCCAACGCGGCACATGCGCAGAAAGTTTTTAGCTTTGAGGTTCGGATTATAGATCATTCCGGATTATGGGTGTCCGAATTAACGACTTTTGACTGTATAACATACTTATATTAGCAGTTTTTTCTTTCTGCCGTAGAATTAAATTCTGCTAACCGATTTATTAATTCCCATTAATATGTTACTGGACATGTGTTGCTACGTACTTAAGCAGGCGTTGCAAAAGCTGCAGGTTTCTTTACCGGTAACCGTCGATCGGTATCATATTTCTTTCTTTATTCTTGTAATCCAGAAAAAAATTGTAAATTAAGCTTTCAATGCGATTGATGAAAATATGTGCGCGGTATTCGAGGAAATTTTTTTTCCTTTTTGGTGTGTCGAAAAAATCGGGTGCGCGTCCTATTCGGTGCGCGTGGTATTCGTGAATACACGATAATATTAATTTGAACGCTTGACTATTGAACATTGTAAATAATAGAAGATTGAGAGCATAGAATATGAATACACGTTTTTAGGGTTTTAGTAAAGCATGGAAAGCTTATTATTTCAAAATACCTTTAAATCTTTCCATTGTTTATTTAAACAACAGAAAAGTTTATAGGTGACTTCAGTTTAAAAGAGTTACCTAAGAAAATCACTTAAACGTCATATAAAATATTGTTTGACACAACAAAAGATAACAGAACTTTGTGACAGAAAAAGGTTTTAACGCTGTCAACACAAAATACTATAGATCAGTAATTTGAGGAATCTTCTTACTAGTTACATAAATTTTATAAACTAATGAAATATCTTTTATGAGAAAAGATGTTTTCACAATCTATGTCAATTTCATATGAATTTTGAAAACATAAATAAGACCGAAAAGATTGTTATGAGTAATATTAGGCAAAATTTTAAAACAAAGAAACAAACGATTGCAGTCAATTCAGTTTTATATACCTTGCATTAAGTTTTCTCGATATGGGTAACAATAAATTGGTAAGGAAGTAAGATTTGGTTAATTAGCTTTCAAAGCGGTCATATTTATTATAGAAAACATAAAACCCAAAAGAACATTTTAATTTTTAGTTTTACTTTATTTTCATTTCAAAATTTTAATTTGAGAATTTTATTTTTGAATTTTTCGAGATTTAAAAGGCAGTTTTTAAGGTTAGCACAAACTGTTTTGAAACGAAACATGATGCCTTTGCTTTGTGATGATGATGATGCCTTTGTGATGATCATGATGCCTTTACTTGGAAGGCTAAGGACTCAATGCAGGTGTTTTGATCAGTGCCGATCATCTTGCCAAAGCAGCCAGCTTTATCAACAGATTCCTAGCTATTTCTGTTCTTTTAGTTTATACGGAGCTGGAACTGCGATTTTCAATCGTAAGTAAATAGTACTGTAATATATATATTGGTAAGTAAGGCCAAGTACAATAAAATTATTTTCTTATTCTACAAATGATTTGAGTTTATAATAGATGGGCCAAAGTTTTCTTCGAAAATTTTCTGACGATTAAAATATTTCAGTTGAATCATATGTCATCACATTCTGACGGAAAAACCGAAAACGTGTTTAACTCAGAAAGTACATTTTACTTCTGCTGACATAACCTCATGAGAAGGCCAGTCGTACTGTAATCTGTTAGATTTAGATTTCACAAGCAGGGTTAAAACTGATCATCTGGAATTTTTAATGGAAGTGCAAGCAGGGAATTGGTATTATCTTGAACAGTTAGGATATCAGCCAGAACATGTCAGAAGAACGGCCTTTGCTGTAAAGAAATAATTCTGATTTCTTTAATGCAGCAATTTTTACCGCAAATGTGTCACTGCTAACATCTCTCTTTAGTGCTAGAATGGAAGCAACTGCATTTTCATGGTTCACAACTAACCTGACATAACATACGTGCCCGATTAAAAGAGTACTTTGTGTTAAAATTAGAAAAGTGTTAAAATTCATTTCGAAAGGACATAATCAAGGAAAGCAAGAAAACTTTGCAAAGCTTCGGCAGATTCAGAAATAAAAACCTGTCATTTCTACTTCAAGAACTGGAAATTATATTATGAGCTCGATATGGGTCCATCAGTGTAAGTCTGATGGACTGATGGATATGGGTCCATCAGTGTAAGTCTGATGGACTGATGGATATGGGTCCATCAGTCTATCAGTGTAAAAGGGGAATACGTCGATGACATTTAAATACGTTTTCTATACACCCAGAATGGGATGGGGCGAAACCATGGATATAGTAGAGGACATGAGGCAAGTGGGGCATTTACCTCAGGTGAACAACTAGTCGGGGCGCCAAATTAGCTACAAAATTTTAGAAATTCATTCTTAAAAAGGAATTCTGATTCGACTTTGGAAACATATCAAGAAGCAGCGAAAGAATATGAATGCTTATAAAGAAGAATTAAGCGAAGAATTTATAATAATAATTTTTCTCAGAAGTGCTGAGGTGTGCATCAATGGTATACTGTTGAATTTAATTTTAGCTTGTTGCAATCAGCTGCATAGACTAAATTTGCCAAGAAGGCGCCGAC